TTAAACTAGTTGAGCTAAACTCGTAGCTAATGTTAAAGTTTACTCCCTCTGTTTCAATAAATTCTATATTCTAAAAAAATATTTATTTCAAAAAGATACATTATTTTTTATATTTTTATTGTATTAATTAATGATAAATTATTAATTTTGAGAAACTTAGTTGTGTGTGAAATTCTATTGGTTAAAGATTATAAAAAATATTAATTATAAAAAATGATATATTAGTAATCAAAATTTTATATGTTTTTTTAATATATGTAAAAAAACTAAAACATACAATCTTTTAAAAGAGATGGAGTAGTGTGTTAATATTAATTCTGTAAAATTAATCATAGCTGTTTAAATTGTCTTTGAGATTTAGGAAGCATAGTCAATTTATTAAAAAAAAATAATTTTCTTTTAATTAAATTTAGGGTCAAAATATTATTTATTTATATCTATATATTTTTTTCTGAAAACTTTGGAGGCATACTACTAATATTTTGTACGGCTTTCTCGAGACGAACCTAAATTTTACTACGTCTCCGACTCTCCGTTTGGTTAAGGATCAGCATGTAACTACGCTTTCATTCCTTATATACATATATTGTATAAGAAATGTTCATGTTTTCTTATAAAATAAAAGCTAAATTTAATACATTTAACTGATGGGAGATATTATGTGACTTAAATATAAAACTACCAATTAAAATATGAATGATAAACAAATAAAAACTCTTTATAAAAACAAATATAGTTTAAAACTAACTAAAATGCAACAAAAAAAGAAGAAGTTTATTAATATACTGTATGTGATAACATTGTGGCATATAGTTTCTTTAACCATCTAAGAGCAACATCATTTTCAAGAGTTCCCATTGAATATTTAACTAATATTCTTTCCATTTTAATTTAATTGTCATGGTATAATAATATTTTTTTCTAAAATAAGTGTTGGTTGGATTTCAAGATAAAATTTATTACTTTTATATGTTATCTTATTTATTTATTAATTTAAATGTTGTTATTTTTATAAATAATGATGTTTTATTTGGGAAATATGTTAAATATTTTTTTTGTAATCTGTATACACAAATCTAAAACGATAACTAAAATTAAATGAAGAAAATTTAATATTATTAAAATGATATGATTATTTCATTAAGTTAAAAATGTGATCCAACAAAAAAGATGAAAGTCGCATTAAAGTATCTTCAAGATTCTTAAATTCTCTTTATAGACCTATTCTCACTGTTTTGTTCTATTTTCTCCTTTTCTAAAAAAAATTAAATAATCATGAAAAACTTCTCCTCATCGCCCTTGGAGAAGCATTAATGATCTGAATTCATTTTCCAACAGATCTACTGAACTGATACTCCATAATGATCTGAATTCATTTTCGTACAGATCTACTGAACTGATACATTTATTAGTTTTCTTACCATTCAATGATTTTTGGTAGGAGTAGTTACAAGTCAAATACTTATCATTTTTTGTTTATCTGGTATTTGGCTGAATTTGTTCAAACAATGAGATTTTAGATTCGTACTTGGTTTATTAAAAATAAATATTTGTACTTTCAAATACTTATTAAAAAAATGATATACTTATAAGTATTTGCCTTGTTTTACTACTTTTTACTTTTAAACTAGTTTATAAATTATTATCTAATCATTTCTAAGTTATTTAATAATAATTTATTAACTTTAGCTACTTAAACTTTGTATATGAGTTTATGAAAAAATTAGTTAGTTATAATTCTAATCTAAACAATTTTTTTATAAAGAATATTTCTATATTTTCATATGTTTTAAGTTGATATATGAGAAATATAAAATTACAAAACATTAAAATATTTCTTTAATATATCACTTTTAAGTCATTTATCATATAATCAAGTAATTTGATTATAATTTAGAGATTATTTTGTCCAAAAATAAAAACAAATAACAAGTCAAATTATAAATCACGCGAGTAACAAACCAACAACACCAAATAGTTGTCTTTATTTTAGTATTTGATACTTGTCTTGTACTTGCAAGTAATTGAAATAAACGATCTGATATTCGACTTGAACAAAACGAATACTCGACTTTAAGAGTCAAGTATGAATTAAGTATCAAATATAAGTCGAATAGCAAATATTGTGCTCATAATTTTTGGTTTTATTTTTCTGACATCAATGATTCTTGGTTAAAAGAGTACGGACTATGACAGTGCTTTAAATATTTATCATATATAGGATTACTTATTTTAAAAGGTTTTCATCTACTATTTATGATTATGTAGAATTTATTTTGGTCCCCCATGAATAGTTTTTCACTTTTCTATAAACGTGCAACGACGTTTCGGTTGCTGACTATGACCTTTAACGATTTAAAGAATGGTTTTACCTGATCATATGCGTTGTACAACATTTGTAGTTAGGTAACTGAGCTAATTATTTTCCGTGATTTAATAGTACTTTGTTTTACTTTTTTTACACAGTTAGGTATGGGAAGTGCAGTTGAAACTCTATGTGGACAAGCATATGGAGCTCACCGTTATGATATGCTTGGGATCTATCTCCAAAGAGCAACGATAGTCCTAGCTCTGGTTGGTTTGCCCATGACACTACTATACACCTTCTCGTATCCGATTCTAGTCTTATTAGGCGAACCCAAAACGGTGTCATACATGGGGTCCTTGTACATCGCCGGATTAATCCCGCAGATCTTCGCTTATGCCGTCAACTTCACGGCCCAAAAATTCCTCCAGGCACAAAGCATAGTGACTCCTAGTGCGTACATCTCAGCTGCCGCTCTACTCCTCCAGATATCGCTAACGTATATCACTGTTTACGTTATGGGCTTGGGTCTTATGAGCATTGCTTATGTCTTGACTATCTGTTGGTGGGTTATAGTTGGGGCCCAGACTTTGTATATTACGAAAAGTCAGAGGTTTAGACACACGTGGACTGGTCTTAGCTGGAGATCGTTCCAAGGTCTTTGGAATTTTTTTAAACTCTCTGCTGGTTCGGCTGTTATGATCTGTCTGGAAATGTGGTATTCGCAGATTCTGGTTCTTCTTGCTGGTTTGCTTAAAGATCCTGCTCTCTCTCTAGATTCCCTCTCTATCTGGTAAGTCCATGGTTTTCTCATATCATTTTAGTGTTCGGATCATTTTTGGTTCATCAGGTGTTAGCCATATTAATCCCAAAAAAAATAATTCAAAACAAAGGGGAAAGATGAGTTAATATTTTTATTTAGGTTTGTGTTATTGTGTAGATCGTGAAAACTTCTCTACCTAATGGTCTGGTAGAGATTTAATTTATTTAGAAATGATGCGAGAGATGTATATTTGACCCAAAATTAATAAATATTGCTGACCTTAAATTTAAATATAATTTGTAAATAAACAATTTTATTTTGCTAACATTTTTCTTTCTTTGGCAGTATGTCAATTTCAGCATTATCCTTCATGGTCTCCGTAGGCTTCAATGCGGCTGCAAGGTTAGTTTTTATATATTATAATCCCAGTTCAAATCATTAAGCAACATTGCTGAAACTATATCATAAATTTTTTTTAAACTATATATGACAGTGTACGGACAAGTAATGAGCTTGGAGCAGCAAATCCAAAATCGGCATTGTTCTCTACGTGGACGGCTACTTTAGTTTCTTTCATAATTTCCGTCGCTGAAGCTCTGGCGGTCATGGCGGCACGTGATTATATCAGCTATATTTTCACGTCGGACGCTGAGGTAGCTAAAGCCGTCTCTGACTTATGCCCTTTCCTCGCCGTCACCATCATCCTCAACGGAATCCAGCCAGTCTTATCTGGTACACTCATGCAACTTAGTTGTAATTAAATCTCGAGAAAACCAGTTTACTTAACAGTTTAAACCGAACGGGTTTAATTTTTTTTTTTTTTTTGCAGGAGTGGCTGTGGGATGTGGATGGCAGGCATTCGTGGCATATGTGAATGTTGGTTGTTACTATATAGTTGGTATTCCTGTTGGCTGTATTCTTGGGTTCACATTTAACTTTCAAGCTAAGGTTTGTTTTTTAAAACAGTTTTTCTATATAATGTATGCGTTATTATTTCTGTTTATTTTTTTGTCAGCAATCAAATTTCTGTCTATAGATAAAATGTGTAAATGATGATAGGGAATATGGACCGGGATGATTGGAGGTACCCTGATGCAAACTCTCATCTTACTTTACATCACATATCGAACTGATTGGGATAAAGAGGTACGTGTTACATGACATCAAGTCACATCATATTGATTTTGAATCAATTTTTAAGTTAGTTTTGATTTGGGTCTATCGATATTATAAACATTAGTATTTGGTTTACAATAATAATTCAGGTGGAAAAAGCGAGAAAGCGATTGGATATGTGGGACGATAAGAAGGAACCTCTTCAAAATTAAATGAGTAATAAACTAAATGAAAATAATAATTTATATTTCAAAGTAGCTAGTATTAAAATTTAATAATATGATATAATACTTACATATTAGTATTACGAAATGCAGGTATAACATGTGGAGTGGAAAAAAGAAAGAAAAATAAGTGTTGTCTTCGGAGGTGGTTTTCTGAAAAGAAGATGCTTCTTTTTATTATTAGAACCAAACTATTTTTTGATCAAAAGGAAAAAAAAAAAAACTATTCCACCAGATTTCATTTTTGTTTCCTTGGAAATTTTTTGTGGCTATATCTGATGGATGGATTACTCATCTAATTAAGTAGTTTTAAAACTGTATTATTACTTCTGATGACAATATTTGATAATTCTGGAATGTTAATGTATTACTTATTAGAGAATTCAAAACGAGGATAGATCATTGCTCAGAAGAAACAAAGTTACTTAAAGAAATTACCAAATTAAAGAACATTGTAGTTGTAGATTGATATTAAAATGGATAAGAATAGAAATGTCTAAAAGGAAAACTCATAAGATTAAAAAAAAAGATAATCCTCTCTCTTATCTATCATCTCTCGACCCTCTCTCAACCACAAAGTAAACTAAGATAGTCTCCGGTGTCCGGTGGCGTGTGCGTGCCGACGCCGGAGGACCCCTCCTCCCTTGCTCCTCCTTTGCTCTTTGCTGTTCGTCGATTCTCTACCTCCTTGCCGATATGTTCGTCGATCTACGGAAGGGTTACTGTCCGGTGAGAAGCTGCGCGCGGGGTTTTCAAATCGGGTTTTTGTTACAGCTTCAGGTGGTTCCACGGCGAGGTTCTGAGGTAGTTTTCATGGCGGATGGTCGACTTTTAGAGCTCTGTGGTGTAGATTGGTTTTACTTTTGATTTTCCCCGGAAGTCACTGTCGTTGAAGAAGATTATGGTTGGGGGATTGCGTGAGAGTTTCTAACTTGTATAGGGTCTCAAAGGTGTTCTCTTTCAATGGGGTTTAGGATCTAGGGATGCTTCGGCGTCGGTGTGGTCTTGTCCGCTCTGCCCTTTTCCAAGTGAGCTTCGGTGCTTCTTTAGACCGGAGGCGAGTCTTGGGCAGATGTATGCAGTTGGTGGTGTTGCTCTGTTCAAACTCCGGCTCATGTGAATGGGCGTGTTCTCTGTAGCAAGCTGTCATCTATAGCTGCTTATGGTTTTCTCGTTCGAACACTTCATTTGGTAATCAACTTCACGGCTTCTATTTTAGTTGTATCCTTATTTTGGTTGCTCTATTGCTTGGATTTGTCTCGAGGCTTCATCATTTGACCTATCTCCACTGATACCAGAGGCAGATCTTAGAGGCGGATCTTCACATATTGGTTACTGGCCTTTGATTCTAAAACGTTGCAAATGGCGAGGCGGTGATTGGTCATTCACTCCTCGCTGTCTCCATTTGGTCTAAGCCACTTCCCAGAACCACTTTAGCTCATGGAGCTCTTGTGGTGGTGAGCCTGACTTACCATGTAGGTGAATGAGACTGGCTAGGATAGAAGTGGCGGTACTTCCAGCCTGATTTTTTGCAGGTTTCATTGACGGAAGTGGCGAGCGCTTGCTCGATTTGGGATGTGGATGCATCGTGTGGCGCTACATACAGGCCGGCTTTGGTGACAGTTGCAAGGCTCTTGGTAAGTATCTGAAACCTCCCCTTCAGTCGTCTTGAGCTTCATAGACAGAGAAAGTTATAAGTTTTGTGGACTTCATCGGGAACTAGCTACTCCGAAGACGTCAAGGGAACTTCCGGCATCCGAGGTAACGAGGAGAACCTCACTTTCCCGAAAATCATGTTGATGGTTGAGAACGGCTACCGATATCGAAGAATTTTGAAAAATAAACTAGCGGAATGTGTCGGGTTTAGTGGGTGGATGAAGCTAGGTTTGTAATAGTTTGATCTCTATACTTTTGTTCAAAACAAGCTTGTAACCGTATCTGATTCTCGGCAGATTTTATATAAAATTCTCATTAAAAAAAGAAAAGAAAAAAAACTCATAAGATTTCAATAAAGTCCTTTAAAAAATTGTTATACTACTATCACTTGCTTTGAACCTTAGATAAATGACTTTTTCATAAATTAGGATTCTGTTGGACTTTAATACCACAAACCTGGTGTGGATTTAAAATATACTCAAAGTTTGGAGGTGCAAATGAATATGTTGATATGAATTGAACATGAGTAGTCAACTCGGACATAAATATATTAAAACCTCATCAATTCGCTGTAGAGATAGTAAAACAGTAGACTTTGTAACCAAATACGAACTTTTAGCTAATACTTAAATCTATTGTATTCTTTCAGAAGCATCTTTGTATTTGAAGAGACTAACACAATCTTTCAAAAGTATTTAACCATTATTATTCACAAAAGTATTGGTTCTTGTGCACCATCTAAGACCATGTCCATTAGAGGTTTTAAAGGGGTCCATGGGTGGGGTTCATAGGCTTGAAATTCAAAAAGAGTTAAAAAAAATTGGGCCATTTCGGTGAACCGAGTCGTACGAGTGATCCCATATGATACAGATTCAAGCCACGTGGGAAGCACCCATTGGACGTGCCTTTTGCGCGTTGACGAGGAAGAAACATGGTTTCGCGTAGAGAGGATTCATTTTCTCCTATCTTCGAAAAAATTAGGGTTTCTCCGTCTCAAGGCGATTAGCTAGAGAAAATCTTTGGCAGTCGGCGTCGCAAGTGAAATCGCCTTGAGACGGAGAAACCCTAATTTTTTCAGGTCAGTATCGAGTAGATTTACAGTTTAATAGAACCGATATGGCTCGAAAGTGATCTCGGGGATTCGAAATTGATTTGGGGGTTTTGAGTTAGGGTTATAAATCGAGATGGGGGTTTCGATTTATGGTTGTAAATCTTCATGCTGGTTTGATTTAGAGTTCGTTTCATTGGGGATTCGAAATCCAGTTTGGTGTTTCGAGTTAGGGTTCGAAATCAATTTGGGGGTTTCGAGTTAGGGTTCTAAATCGATATGGGGGTTTTGATTTGTTGTTGTAAATTGTCATGCGGGTTCGATTTAGGTTTCATTTCATCATATTTTCGTCATTATGTTCTAATCATTTCAATTTCTGGTATAGATGGATCCCGCATAAGACAAAAGAAAGACAAAGAGGCAAAAGGAGTATACATCAACATGTTAACATGTGGCTGACTCAGAATACAGAATTTCGAGAAGGTGTCAGTGTGGTGGGAAAATCATTGACGAGGTTCGGGGGAAGGAGGACTACGACACTCTTCATGGGAAGCGTTTCTTCACCTGCATAAACTACCAGGTAAGTCTCAATTGGCACATTCATATAAATTACAGTGAAACCTCTATAAATTAATAATATTGGGACTACACCAAAATTTTATTTTTTTATTAATTTAGAGAGATATTAATTTATAGATATACTAATTGAACCAAAAACTTATTTTGGGACTATAAAATTATATTAATTTATAGACATATTTAGTGTATATTAATTTATCGAGTATTAATTTATAGAGGTTCTACTGTATGTTGAACAAAGACTATTCTGATTTCTTTTTATGTTGTAAACAAGGCTGATGGGTTCCATTACTGTAAGCCTTAGGTGATTGGTGTCTAGGAGGAGATCGAACGCCTGACTAAACGGGTGGAGGAGGCTGAGCAAGTGATCAAGGGGGTGCCGAATCTCAGTAAACAGATTGAGACACTAGAGGTTAGTCAATTTTAGTTTTTAGTATTTAGTGTTACATACTTTTAGTGATCTCATGCAATCTTTCATTTGTGTTTCCATGTCCAGTGAGAGGTTGAAATCTTCATTGGGAAGGTTGATAACCTCACAGTGCAGGTTGCTGACATGGAGAAGATCAAATGGCTGAGTAAGCGGGTGGAAGAGGCTGAGCAGGTGATCCAGGGGGTGCCGAATCTCAATAAAAAGATTGAGACACTGGAGGTTAGTGAAGATTGAGACAATATTTGGATTGAGACACTGAATATTTGTATTGTTATATGTCCTTTAAGTAAATAAAAAGATTGAGACACTGAATATTTGTATTGTTTGGTACTTATTAGGTCACTAACAAAGTTTCATTGCTGTTTTCATGTCCAAGCACAGGTTAGAATCCTCACTGGCCAGGTTGAAAACCTCACTATGCAGGTCGCTGACCTGGAGAAGCTCTGCTGCGAATGAAAACCAAATGTAAGAATCAATCTTAATTACTGTTTCTAAATGTATCCGTGTGAATGATGAAGTAGAAATTAAGTTGTTATAAAAGCTAGACTAAACTAAACAAAACTAGAACTAGTACTAATTCTAGTTCTTAAGCTAAAGCAAACTATACAGCCTTAAACTGATTTGATGTGTAATGAATGCTTTCTCTAAATGTTGTTGTGTATTAACTAATTAGCTTAAGTTATTTAAAAAACTGGACTAAAGTAATTACGCACACGGAGGGGTATACATACATATTATTTTTATTTATTTATTCGTATTAGGACTTGATAATAATGATCTGCGTATAAGGCTCAAATTCATATTAGTTCATATAATCATTATTGAGTTTTAACTATATGAGAATAATATTGGAACAAGCATCTGTGATTCAATCTGATTCCAGAGTAATATGTGTATAGAAATCATTTTTTCTGATTGAATGATGATTGAAACAAAACTAATATGATGTTGTTGTGAATTAACTAAAAAACTTGACTAAAGTAAACTTAACCGAAGTAGAACTAGCAGTAGAACTAGTTGTTATTCGATTTGATGTGCAATGAATGCTCTCTCTGAATGTTGTTGTGTAACTAAGTATAATGAATGTTTGGTAGTTAAAGTTTGTTTAATTCTTCTCTCGTATCAATGCAAAAACTGTTGTGAATCAGAGAGAGTTGTAGAGGGAAATTGCTTGTATTATTAGTGATCATAGATGTTTCTTTCTATAAGGGTTACAAGATATGAAATATGGAAATTATCCAAAACCAAAACTAACTAAGAATAGGAACATGGCCAACATGGCCGCCTATGATCTATGCGTATGGGCCTAATTGGGCCGTCTTGGTTATGGAAATCCACTACATGATTTATAACATTCCCCCTTGGATGCCATAATCATGCAAGGTTTGTAATGTGCTTAATGTTGCCTAATTAAAACCTTTACCAGGAAAACCCAATTGGGACAAAACCATATTAAAGGAAAGAGTACAACACACATTACTCCCCCTGGTGAATGCATTACTAAAGGTCTTTCAGTCGACGCATCCCAATCTTATAAATCAGCTTCTTGAACGTCGGGTTTGGTAAAGACTTTGTGAAAAGGTCGGCTGAGTTATCACTGGACCGTACTTGAACCACTTGAACCTCTTTGGCCTTTTTCATATCGTGGGTAAAGAAGAACTTAGGCAATATATGCTTCGTCCTATCTCCTTTTATGTATCCATCTTTGAGTTGAGTTATACAAGCTGCATTGTTCTCATAGATGATCGTTGGTTCATCTTTTTCCACGGCCAAACCACTGCCACACGAATATGGTTGGTCATAGACCTCAACCAGACAAGTTCACGACTTGCCTCATGCATTGCTAAGATCTCTGCATGGTTGGACGATGTGGCTACAAAGGCCTGTTTCATGGACCGCCAACATACTGCAGTTCCACCATGAGTAAATACATATCCAGTCTGAGATCTAGCATTATGTGGATCAGATAAGTATCCTGCATCTGCATATCCAATCAAATTTTCTTTGGACTGATTGGTAAAGAACAAACCAAGATCTTTGGTTCCTTGCAAATATCTAAGTATGTGTTTAATCCCATTCCACTGCCTTATAGTCGGACAAGAGCTAAATCTAGATAGTAGATTCACGGCAAAATAAATGTCTGGTCTAGTGTGGCTAGACAGATACATTACAGCTCCAATGGCACTAAGGTAAGGCATTTTCGGACCAAGGACTTCATCTTCCTTTTGCTTTGGCCGGAATGGGTCCAGGTCCGGGCTTAGGGACCGGATGACCATAGAACTCGACAATGAGTGATCCTGGTCCATATTAAAATTCTTGAGTACCTTTTCTGTATATGCCTCTTGATGCACAAGGATTCCATTGTTTATGTACTCAAGCTGTAATCCCAAACAAAACTTTGTTTTTC